TCTCTCGTTAGCCAAGCACAAGGAGCCTTTATACAGGATAGACAAATTACAGATCAGATCCTTATTGCAAACGAGAGTGTGGAAGAGATAAGGAGATTGGGAAGGAAATGATTTGTTTGCAAACTGGACTTGGAGAAAGCCTATGACTTAGTGGATTGGAGTTTCCTGCTGGAGATGTCAAGAAGACGTGGATTTAGGGATAAATGGTGTAATTGGATAAGAGGACCTTCTGTTAGATACAGAATCGGCCCAATCAACATCAATGTATCCCTCTATTTCAAGACTTCCTCCACTCTTGTATAACGACCCACGACCAAGAGCTCCCTTCAAATACCGTACAATCCTTAGAACTACATCCCAATGTGGAACCCGAGGATTCTGCATAAACTGACTCACCACACTAAATGCAATGAAATATCTGGCCGAGTAATGGTTAGGTAGTTTAACTTACCTAACCTGCACCACTACTCAACTTGGTATTTGGTTCCATGGGTGTTTCAACTGGTTTGGCACCTTACAATCCTGTCTCCTTCAATAATTCAAGGACATACTTCCTTTGACATAGATTAATACCTTGCTTAGACCTTGCTACTTCTATCCCCAAGAAATATTTCAATTTACCAAGGTCTTTTGTTTAGAAGTGATCCTGCAGAAAGGTCTTTAGCCTATCAATCCCCAACTTGTCACTACCAGTAATAACAATGTCATCTACATATACCATCGGTAAAATCTTTCCAGCACTTGAATCATAGTTAAATACTGAGTGATCAACTTAACATGGTTTCCTGCCAAACTTCTTTACCACTTCACTGAATCTACCAAATCATGCATGAGGGGACTATTTAAGTTCATAAATGGCTTTCTCAAGGAGATCACCATGTAAAAAGGTATTCTTGATGCCAAGTTGAAATAGAGCCAATCATACATAGCAGCTAGAGATATCAAGACATGAACTGAACCAATTTTAGCAACAAGAGAGGTCTCGGTGTAGTCAATACCATACATTTGGGAATAACCTTTGGCAACCGGTCAAGCTTTCAACCACTCTACACTACCATCAAGTAAATACTTAACAGTGTAAACCCACTTACAACCTACAACATGCTTAGAAGGAGGGAACGTGGTGAGCTCCCACGTATGGTTGAGCCAAAGCTGAGAGTTCTTCTTCCATTCCATGGCGCCACCCTGGAGAGGCAAGGGCTTTCTAAACATCCGTAGGAGTAGAAATAAAAGACAACATAGAAACAAACTGGCGATGGAAAGTAGAAAAGGTGAGATATAGAAACATGATTTGAAATAGGATGAAGTGTGCAACTGCATTTACCTTTTTGCAAGGCAATAGGAAGATCAAGGTTCGAAACAGGGGGCGGGGCTGGCGTTGGAACTACTGGATCTGTCAACGGTGAAGAAGCTAGAGGAGGGAGTTGGTACATGTCGATGTGTATACACTTGGTAGATGGGTGACCGTTCAATAGGAAGCTGCATTGGAGGCGAAGACTTAGTCACAACTGGAACAAGAAGAATGGGGTCCTCAACGGGAATTAGAAGAGGAGGTTGAGAAGAAGAAACATCACCTGACCCAGAAAAAAAAAATGGAACATACTCGAAGAAAGTAACATTAGGACACACAAATGAACGTTTGGAATTGGGGTTATAACACTTATACCCTTTCTTGGTCCGGGAATAGCCAAGGAAGATACACTTAGTGGGTCATGTATCTAATTTGTCCATTTTAGGCCCAAGATTATGGACAAAGCACACACCCAAAAACCCAGGCAGTAAGAGAATACAGAGACAAGGTAGGAAACAAAATGGTGAAAGGAGAATGACCTTCAAGGATGGGTGTGGGCATCTGGTTAATAAGGAAGCAAGATGTAAGCACAACATCACTCCAAAAACGTTTTGGTACATTCATATGGTGCAAAAGGGACCAAGTAGTTTCCAAAAGATGGTAGTTCTTTCTCTCAGCCACCCCATTTTGCTGTGGGGTGTGGGTACATGAGGTCTGATGGATAATGCCATGTTGTTCCAAATACTCCTGAAATGGTGTATAAAAGTATTTTGAACCATTTTTAGAACGAAGAATCTTAATGTGTACACCAAATTGATTGCGGGTTTCAGCATAAAATTTTTTGAAAATGGAAAACAATTCACTCCTTTACTTCATAAGATAAAGCCCATCATCCTTGAATAATCATCAACAAAAATTGCTAAGTATTTATAACCATTGTATGACACTATTTTTATTTGGACCCCAAATGTTTGACTGAATTATAGAAAAATGAGTAAAGGACTCGATATACAATTATCAACCTTAGGACTAAAGGGAACATGATGATGTTTCCCTAACTGACATGACTCACAATCCAAAACAGAAAGACAACTCAAGGATGGAACAAGTAACTTAAGTGCTTTAAGCAATGGATGACCAAGTCTACAATGCCACTGAAAAGGAGAAAGAGATGTTTGAAGAGCCGTTGATGAACCACCACCACCATCAAGATAATACAGTCCACTAGCTTCATGCCTTCCACCAATCTTCATCCCCGTCTTGTGATAAAAAACACATGAATAAGTGTAAAAGGTGATGGATCAATTAAGAGACTTGGTCAACTTACTAATACACATGAGATTAAAAGGAAATTTGGGAACATACAAAACTGAGGACGGGGATAAAGAATCTATGTCAATATTATCAACACCACATATGGAAGATGTGGAACCATTAGCAAGGGTAACAAAGTATGATGTGGAGCACTGAGAAAGAGAGGAAAACACACTTGGAGTCCCAATCATATAATCGAAAACTCCAGAGTTGATAATCCATTGGGAGGGTTTGGATGCTAGACAAGCCATACCTGAATGTGCTAGGGTAGTTGTATTCCGTTGAGATGTGGCCTAGATAAACGCTCATACTCATCACGTGGGACACTCATCATCTCCTTTCCAGAGGCATCCATAGATGTAGAAGGCATCTAATCAGTTTGCTGAATATCCTATCTTAAACTATCATATCTAGCCACTGCATGATTTGCCCAAATTGAAGGTGGGCCATGTAAATCATAACAAAAATTGATAGTGTCTTTCCATAACCACAATGTGTACACCTCCTCGGGCCATTACTATGTCCTCTGCCACGAGCTCCTCTTGAATCTCGGCCTCCAATATGTCCACCACCACGACTATACACGGATCCACCACCATGACTATACAAGGGTCCACCACTACCACCACGACCGGGCTGAACTCCTCGAGCTCCACCTCTGATTCCATGACCTCCTCCCTCTCATCACTGCAAAGGCAGACCTATCAAGAGATATTAGAGTTCTTTGTAGGTCCAACAGAGATCCTTCGAAGACGGGCAAACACCTCTTCTAGAGAGGGAAGAGCAGACCTACCTAGTATCTATGCTCTCACTGGTTCATATTCAAGTTTCAGCCCTACTAAAAATCTGGTTACATTGAGTTGCTCTCTCTGTTGTTGCTGAATCTTAACATCAGAAGTGAGGGGATGGTACACATTCAACTCATTACGAAGATTCCTCATGCTAGCATAGTATTCCTCAAGACTTTGATTACCCCGCTACAGATTGAAGTACTCCTGATAAAGCTGATACACTCTAGTAGTATTGTCTTGCCTAGAGTGCAACTTCTTCCAAAATCTTCTTGGCTGTATCTAAGAACATAAAAATTCACACAAATCTTAGGTTCCATACTATTCCAAACCAGGTCATAATATGTGCATCTTCTTGTTCCCAACTTCAATCAGCAAGTGGGTAAGGAGGGTATCGGGTAACTGATACCCTTGGGTAGCGTGGGGCCCAGTATAGCGGAAAATGAATGTGGGTAAGATGTCAATTTACCCCTTTGATCAACCTATCCCTGATAAATCCTGGAAAACAAGCAAGACCTAAAGGAAAAGTAGCTTCAAACAGATCCTTACTTGTTCTATTGGAATTCTTTTCTCCTTGGTGCTAGTGGTTTCTATAAGAAGTTTTATGAATAACAGATGCACCATACTTTTAGCTCCTCTTTTCCCTTAATTATTTATAGCCAAAAATTCTCAACAGGGCACTGGAGCACAGCTTATAGGGAGGTCAGTTCCATCTCCATCTGGTACAGCTGGAGCCACTTCCTTTGATGCTACATCTGCATCACCGCTGTCATATGCCAATTCACCAAGATCTGGAGCAAATATAATGAATACACCTTCTCCTCAACAACAAACACAGCAGCAGCAACAACAACAACAGCAACAGCAACAACAACAACAGCAACAACAGAGGCAGAAGCTGATCTCACAGCTATCCCCACATCAGCAGCAGCTTCTCGCTCAACAACAGTTTAGACAATCTTCTGCATCAGGCTTAGGGCAGGTACTATTTAGTATTAGGGAAAATATTTGGATTGCAATGCATATATCAAACTGACAATAATACACTCAATGTAACGTGATTCAACTATGTTTTAGATGTATTAATTCTTTATGCTGATTGTTTTGCCTGATGTGTGACACTATAAGTGTCACCTGGAATATTGGGTACCTTGATGCTCTTTCTTGCAAGATGGTGCTATACCAGTTATTTCTTTGCTTTTGTGGTGCCTCATCAAAGTTATTGTATGTTATGGAGCATGCATCTTGATTAGAATTCCTTATTCCCGCAGTTCTGACCTTGATTTTTATTTCTCAACCTCAGTTCTCAGAGTAATGCACTTCTCTACCCAAAACTTCGGATAAATTTCTGAAACCATCCTAGGTTTTGCAAAATTTTAAAACCTCCATGAGCCTTTCTTAAGTACAAGTGATCTCTCTTTACATTTTATAACATTTTGTTACATCAAAATAATCTTAAGTGATAAAAAACAATAGGTGTCATTTTATAGGCATTTTTTTTCAAAACTATTCTTCCTTAGATTAGTTGATTGCTTAAGTAAAACACTTTGTTAATTTTGTTATGAGAGAAGTATGATTAAAGGGAGAACTTTGCTGTTTCTTAGACAGTGTCAATTTATAGGCAGTATTGTCCTTAAGAATACTTCTAGAATTATTTTTTGATCAAAAGGTAGAATTATTTATTAGAGCCAAATAAGAAGATTACAACAGGGTGGGAAGGTTCTTCCCCCCAATCACAACTTTACAGCTTTGCCCAAAACATTTAATGTCTCACAGCCTCTTGTTTAGCTAGAGTATCTGCCATCCCATTTTCTGTTCTTCTCACCCATTTAAAGGTTCAACTCCCTTGCAATGCTCTCAATCTCCCTAATGCCTATAGATCCAGGGGATTTGGGTGCTACATCTTGTCCAAGAGAGGTCATTGATATTACTTGCTAAATATTTTGTTAGAGCCAAATAGAAGTACTTCTAGAATTATGCTTCTATTTCCACTTAAAATAATATTACTTACTAAATAAAAAATAAAAGAAAAACAATGGGTTGTGAACAGAGAGGATATAATCAGTACTAATGGCAATATGTCAAGAGAGGTCATTGATATTTAAGAAATGCTTTGGTGAGGTTCTGAGACTTCCAGAAAGCTCAGAGAATGCTTCTGGGTTATCCATGGAATATTTTCGGCATCAGCTGCTCTTCTGGAAAACCTTTTTGGTAGTCCTTCTGGTTAATATTGAAAATTGCACTATGATGTACTCTTCTTTTTCTTTGTATTACTGACTTGAGTGGACTTATTTTTGTGTAATATTTGTATGTTACATCTATTTGAAACAGAAAAACTGAATATATCTCTTGTTTATCTTTGGTAGACCCAGCTGCCACAGCTGCATGATTTGCCAGGTCAGACACAGCAGAAATTTCAGCCGGTAACCTCACACTTATCTCCTCTGTATGGACTGTTTCTGTTTAATAATCAAGGTTACTTCATTCATACACATGTATTACTATTAGCCAATTCTTGTCTAGTAAAGGATTTGGATGTAGCCTGGATTTGTCTATATTGATCCTGTTTTACTGTCATTCATCACAAGTTTTTAAATAATTTTTTCACTACTTTGATCTTGGCATATTTTAGCCTAACATTCTTTTGGAGTCTTTGGTGAAACTCCTAACTGGTGCTACTAATACCCTTTGTTGCATATCACTTATTGGAGGTTCTCCTCATTGTGGTTATTTTTTATTTGATCCATTCAAAGATGCTAAGTTCATTCCCATCTATTATAAAGAAAAAAACCATCTATTTGGGGTTGTCTCTAAGCTAATTCTATCCATATGTTTTTTAATTCTTTGTGCTTATTGTTTCATGATAACTGGAGATTTCTCCTCGAAAGATTGTTGGTCCTGTTGTCATCTCACAACATTTCCCTGTGTACACTTCCAGATTATTTTAAATGTGATTATTTTTTATTCTGCCTTTATAGTTTTTTTTTCCAGGTACAATATGAAGCTTTGATTTATAGGCATGCCTTTCTTGCTAAACTTTTCTAATTCGATTTGCATATTGTTCACGGTCGCTGGACAGTTTGCTCCATGAGACATTATGGCTCTTATTTGTCATCTGACCAAATTTTGACTTAATTCTACTGTATCATGGTCACATAATCTAGAAGGCTCCATTCCAGCCATATAGCCTTATTTTTGTGAAGGAATCCTCTTTGATCTCTTTTTGACAGATTGTAGAATGAAATAGTGGCAATTCTTACTTGGGGCTTCTGCTATCAACTTGTTACAATTAGAGCCTTCTTTTGTCAGTTACTAGAGTTGCATTAAAAATTACCGTCTTAGCTCTGCTTATTCTAGGAACCCTTGGATGTTAAGGCAACAGTCCAAGATTACAAGTTTTCTTTCACCTTCCTTTGGCCTTTGATCAATGCTACATTGTTAGTGGATAACACTAGCATTAATGAATGCTTAGAGCATTTTCTAAGACTGCTATCTTCCCCAGGTACATGGGCAACATCAGATGCAATTTTCTCAGCCATTGACACATCAATCATTCCAGAGTCGGCAATTGCCTGGGCATGTTCAGCATAGCATTGGGCAAAGTCAGCTCAACCAGGGAAATCAGCTTCGGAGTCATTTGAGCCAGTTTCCTGGAACTGCTAATAGTGCATTGTTCAATGCTGCTCAGCCGTCACCGAATTCTCAGATGGTCAGATATATTTTCTCCTACTTGTATTCTTTTCTTTTTAATTTTCTTGTACATGATATCATTTGGAAAATTAGTTTTTTTGTCAATATCTAATACTGATGTTCAGAAAAGGTAAGAGTGGGGTAGAAATGTACTACATATGCTTTGCTAGAGAGATGGATTATCTTCATTTGGAAATTTAGTTTTTCTTGCACTGGATAAGCTAAGATGGTGCAATGTTATATTTAGTATCTCATACAAAGTGTTCCTCAGTTTTTCTGATATGTGTTACTAAGAGTGATAGGGATTAGAGATAGATGGATACAGCAAATGCTTTATTTTTACATGGAGAAGTAAGAAATAGTTTGTAATGGCCCATTCTAGTATACATAACCATGGCCCATGGTGTTTCTGAATTACTATGGTTGAAACATTTTTGACATAGATTGGCATTCAGTTTGAAAAGCCCATGAATCTATATTGTGACAATCAAGTTGCCATAAACATGGCCCAAAATCCAGTTTAACATGACAGAACAAAACACATGAAAGTGGGCAGTCACTTCATTAGAGGACATGTTGCAAATGGAAGAATATATCTACCTTTGGTGAGATCCAAAGACCAAGTAGCTGATTGTTTGACTAAGCATGTCTGTCCATGTTAAAAATCCTAGCAAGCTAGGCATGTATGATATCTATGTTCAGCTTGAGAGTCTAGGGGTATTTTAGCCATGCAAACTTTATTTCAAATTACATAATTACATGGAGCATTAGGAGCTTTCTTGTAATTTTCATACATCATTATATAAATAAATAAAATAGGTGCATGATTTAAGATAGATTTACTGCACTACTGTTATTCTTATTCCTCTTCTACTTCTCTTCCATTCCTTCTGTTCCCTCTTCTTTCTCTATTTTTTCTGATTAATCAACAATGATTATATCCTTATTCATTAAAAATGTAACTAATATAATGCTAGGGTCTTGTTGAATCAATCTCAACCATTGGATGCACTAATAGGAATAGAGAATGCTCCTTTGCTATGGATGATTTTCTAAGATGGTCAATTGTGGCATCAACCTCACTGGGAAGGGCTACACTTAGCATACCTTGGTCACCTCCTCTGTGGAACAGGATAGAAATGAACTTTGATGGTTGTGCTCTTGAGGATCCTGGTGATTTAGTCATAGGGGGTGCATTGTTATGAACACACCACCCGGCAACGCACGGCGGCACAGCCATAGGCAGCAGCACACACAGCGGGCCGCCTAGCGGCACGCACCGCCCGGCAGCGCCGC